GGGTCTCTTCTCCATTTAAAAAGAATAATGGGTCTTTTCTCCATTTAGAAAAATAATGGGTCTCTTCTCCATTAAAAAAATAATGGGTCTCTTCTCCTTAAAAAAAATAATGGGTCTTCTCCATTAAAAAAGATAATGGGTTTCTTCTCCATTAAAAAAATAATGGGTCTCTTCTCCATTTAAAAAAATAATGGGTCTCTTTATTGCAGAGTCTTTCTGTGAAGTATTAGCCGTGTGTTTTTTTTTATGAAACATCTGGTATGTCTCTGTGATACACGAACCATGTCTGTTCATGAAACTTTAGTCATGTCTATGAAACGTTAGTCAGGTTTATGAAACGTTAGTCATGTCTATGAAACGTTAGTCATGTCTATGAAACTTTAGTCAGGTTTATGAAACATTAGCCATGTCTCTTCTTGAAACGGTAGTCAGGTCTTTTTATATAACGTAATTCATGTCTGCTTATGAAACGTTAGCCAAGTCTCTTCATGAAACGGTAGTCATGTAATGAAACGTTATTCAAGTCTCTTCATGAAGTAGCAGCCATGTCCACGAGCAGAAGGCGCCTCCCCTAAGCGAGCCCCGTCTGCCCCTCCGTCAGGTGCTGGAGTTCGCGGCGAAGCGAGGCGAGGCGGGGAGCGACCCGGCGACGGCGGAGGTTCGGGGCGACGGCCAGCTGGTCCTCGGCCAGAACAACAACCCCGACGCCGAGTGGGACCTCACGCAGGCCTTCCACGGCGAGCTCCTGGACTTCAGGATCTACGACGTGGCCCTCGAGCTGGACGAGATGAGGGCGTACACCAACTGCACGGCGGGGGCGGTCGCGTCCGAGCCCCTCTACGCCTTCGGGAGCAACATGTCCCACCTGCGGCTGAGCGGCGAGAGCAAGGAGGTGGCGTTCCCGATGGGCGAGATCTGCGAGCGCTCCCGGGGGATGGTGATGCTCATGCCGGAGAAGATGAAGTTCGCGGAGGCAGACACGCTGTGCAAGCTGTTCATGGGCGCGCTGGCCGTCCCGCGGAGCGCCGAGGAGAACAGGGAGATCTTCGACGACTTCATCCGGTTCAACGACCAGTGCATCCAGGGCTGGGCGGCGCTCTACTGGATGGGCCTCGAGAGCGACGCGAACCGCACCGACTGGTTCTACCTGGACGACGGCTCGCGGCTCACCTACGGCAGCTGGCTGGAGGGCTGGCGCGGCCCCGACGAGGAGTACCCCTGCGCCACCGGGGCCGCGGTCAACTTCCCCTACCTGTGGTACAAGGCGGACTGCGACACCCTCACCTGCCCGCTCTGCAACTTCACGGCGCCGCCCACGCTGCGGCTCCGCGGGCTCTGCAAGCTGTCCAAGTTCGACCGCACCTACACGCTCATGGACTACCACAACGGGCGGCCGGTGTTCGAGGGCGACTTCTTCACCCGCATCGTGTGGGGAAACGGCACCTGGAGGATGGAGAGCCGGAGGGACAGCGGCGTCGAGGCCCTCATGGTGGAGAAGCGGACGGCGGGGTACCCCCTGGGGCTCGCCGCCTGGGACGTGGAGGGGGACGACTGCGCGCAGCGGAGGTAAGGGCGGGCAGGGGGCGGGGGTGGGGGTGGGGGGGGGGAGAGATCCGTTGATTGGGGGAAAATTCTTTGATTCGGGAATGAATTTACTGATCCCCCCTCCCCTCCCCTCTCGGTCCGGGGGGGGGGGGACGGGGGAAATTCTTTGATTCGGGAATGAATTTACTGATCCCCCCCCCCTCCTCTCGGCCGGGGGAGACGGGGGGGGGAGAGGATCCGTTGATTCGGGGGAAAATTCTTTGATTCGGGAATGAATTTACTGATCCCCCCTCCCCCCCTCTCGGCCCGGGGGAGAGGGGGGGGGTTTGTTCAATAGATTTAATCGGGAGATGATCTGTTGATTCGGGAATGAATTTACTGATTCGGGAAAACATTTAATGATCCGGGAAATAACTAATTGATTTAGGAAATAATTAATTGATTCGGGAAATAATTAATTGATTCAGGAAATCAATTGATTTAGATTTGATTAGAAAATATTTAATTGATTCAGAAAATATTTCATTGATTTATAAAATAATTAATTGATTCAGGAAATCACCTATTGATTAGGGAAATAATTGATTTAGAAAATATTTCATTGATTCAGAAAATAATTAATTGATTCAGGAAATAATTAAGTGATTCAGGAGACAATTTATCGATATGGGAAACAATTAATTGATTTTGGAAATAATTAATTAATTCGGGAAATAATTAACTGATTCGAAAAATAATTTACAGATTCGGGAAATAATCTACTGATACGGGAAGGGACTTAATGATTTTCGAAATAATTAATTGATTTGGGGAATTATTTATTTCCACAGATTCAAATCTCAAAAAAAAAAAAAAAAAAAAAAAAAAATCCTTCATATTCCAAAGATTAAATATTCATCAACTCATATAGCTAGCGATTATCAAAAAATGATAATATAATAATACCAGTTTTATAAGCTTTAAATGACTTACATAAACTTTTCTTAAACATTATCCTCAAAATTTTATTGTACTGCTCTATTTTACTTCCCTCAGTTGCCGGTTTTTAATTTATTTATCATTTTCTCTTAATTGTTGATATTAATGATAAAGATGATAAAAGTGATAATAATAACAGTAATGATAATGGGGTGTAATAATGATAATGATAAATAAAATAAATAACAATTAATGATAATGATAAAAATATAATGATAAAATGATTAATAACAATAATGATAATGATAAAAATAATAGTAATATCAATAATGATAATGATAAAAATAATAGTAATATCAGTAATGATAATGATAAAATATAGTAAATCAATAATGACAATGATAAAATATAGCAATAACAATAATAGAACTTTAGAGATAGATAAAAAAGAACAGAAATCGATTATACAATACACCCAAGTCAAAAAAAAAAAAAAAAAAAAAAAAAAAAAAAAGACCTACCCAACTAACCCACCTCTTCCCCCTCCCCCCCTCCCCCCCCTCCCCCCTCCCCCCAACCCAAGGTCGACTTCCTCCTGACCCCGTGCGACCCCGAGGACTTCACCTGCAGCGACGGCTCCTGCATCAAGATGACCCGCCGCTGCAACCAGGTCACCGACTGCCCCGACAACAGCGACGAGCTTAACTGGCCGCATCCTCCTGGTCCTGCGGGATATTCTCCGAACTCCCTCCTCCGAGCTTGGACAAGGACCCCCTCCCCCTCGTGGTGGCCTTCGAGATCACCTCCGTCAGGCAGTTTGACCTCATGGGCTTCCGGATGCAGCTGGAGGTCGTGCAGAGCATCACGTGGCGAGACCCGAGGGTCAAGTTCGCGAACCTCCGCCAGGGGGATTTCGTCAACGAGGCTAAGGTAAGGGGGGTGAGGGAGGGAGGGGTGGGAGGGGGGTGGGAGGGGGGAGGGGGTGGGAGGGGGGGTGAGGGAGGTGGAGGGGGGTGAGGGAGGGGGTGGGAGGTGGGAGGTGGAGGGGGGAGGTGGAGGGTGAGGGAGAAAGGGTGTGGGAGGGAGGGGGTGGGAGGGTAGGGAGAGGTTGATGAGGAGGGGGGGAGAAAGGTTGGGGGTGAAGGTGGAGGTAGGAGATGGGGGTGAGGAGGGGTGGGAGGTGGGAGAGGTTGAGAGAGTGGGGAGGGAGAAAGGGTGGGGGTAAAGTGAGAGTGGGGAGGTGGGGGAGGGGTGAGAGTGAGGTGAGAGAGGTGGAGTAGAGTGAGCGAGGAAGAGGGGTGGGTGGGAGTGAGAGTAAGGGAGATGGGGAAGGTGGTGACAAAAGTGAGGTGGGGAGGGAGAGAAATGGGGGTATAATGGGCTATAATGGGGAATTTCGTGAACGAGGCTAAAGGAAGGGGTGAGGGTAAGAGTGGGGCCGGAAGGGGTGGGGGCGGGGTTGGGGGGTAAAATGCCTTTTTTTGGGGTTTTGTTTTGTAGTTTGTGTTTCTTTTTGGTGCTGTGCTTGGTTATTGTTTTTTTTATTATCATTATCATTGTTATCATCATTTAGTATCTTTATTTTATTATTATTTGGTCTTAAATTTGATTCAGGCTTTTAATTGAAGTTTGATTTGATTTTCTCTTTTAACTAAACTTCGGTCCTTAATTCGGTTTTTTACATTTTTTTTTACATATTTTATATTTACTTTATTTTAATTTAGCTAAAAATGCCAAAGACAATGTATAGAGATATCCTAAACTACAGCAATCATATGTATCAATATGTGACTCAGTAACAGTGACGATATATTATCATCAGTTATCAGTGACAGAAATATGATAATATTTCTTATATAAATATAAAATATAAACAGTGACGTGTACGCCAAGGAATCGAGACGTTTCGAACCTTTAAACGAGTTCGAAACCTCACAATTAAGCTTCATTCTTCTCTTCTCTCTCTCTCTCTCTCTCTCTCTCTCTCTCTCTCTCTCTCTCTCTCTCTATATAATATATATATATATATATATATATATATATATATATAAATGCGGTAATGCATTATTCCATCTTTCATTTCTTTTGTTTTTGTTTCGTTTTGTTTTTCAAATCAGTTGATCGGTTTCATTTTTATCGTGCTGTTTCCTTTTCATCTGTCATATCCTTTAGTTTCATTTCTCTTCATGGCTGCCATTTTTTTTTTTTCTTATATCTCCCTGACTTGTGCATTTTCAGGAACGCGAAAAAGTGTGGCTACCGAAAGTGGTGATCCAAGATGGCGCCCGCGGACCAACTGACGTCATCATGAGAGCCGAGTTCCTATTGGTCGATCGCGAGGGACCCCCACTTCCTGACGACGACACCATGGCAGCCGAGGGTCAGTCCAAACTAAGATAATCAGTCAGACATAGAGGAAGTAAAATAAAAAGTACCCCTATTAGCAACACTTATCATATCAGTCCCCCAGCTGACCCGTCGCCCAAGTTCAAATCACGCACGTGGACTCCTGCACCGCCATTCAGTCTGCAGTTCGCACCCCTTTTCGTTGTCCGAATAAGCCCCGGTTCGAATGATTCATCGCGTGTTTCAGATAAGCTCTACGACGGAACCTCCCATAGCATGAAGATGGTGCAGCAGTATACCGTGGGGTTCATGTGTCAGTTTCGGCTTCAGATGTACCCGTTCGACACCCAGCAGTGCATTCTGACCTATAACATCTCCAACATGCGAGATAATTACGAGTTTAAGAAGGTATGTGAATCTACGTATGCTAACTAAATGGATTTGCTCGGATATGCAGAAGTGATTGATATACTTACGATAATATTTGATAATTCTCTTTTTCATTTTTTTTCATGAATGAATCGACATGAGATTAGTACTACGATACCAAAATTCCTCTAATTAACATACTTTTAACCAGCATTATATTCTAAATCAAATCACAGACAAAGATAAATCCCATAAAGCCATCTAACACAAGGAAGAACAACAATTAAACCAAAAAACAAACAAACAAACAAAAAAATACAAAACAGCTGTTGCTTAGCGAGTACTAACTGATGTAAACAAAGGACTTTAACCTACTGTCTACATTACCGTGTTCACAAGGCGGGTGATTACACGATAATATTACTTAAGGGTCATTGGTCTAACGAGGTCACATTAGTTGTCAGGAGGAAATGGTGATGATAATGTTGATAATGTTGGTGTTGAACTCTGAACACCGTTAGAAAAAAAAAAAAAAAAAAAACAAGAGTGGCATGAGTGAGAAATATTTTTGAAAAGATAATGACAATGAAATCGTTAATATGATGATGGCATTAATTGGTAACGATAATATTCACAAATATATATCATGACGTTGCTAATTCTGCTCTTAATTATTATTACGACAATAAAGCAGAACAATAATGACGTAGTAAAAATAATTATGCTATATAAAACGTCACAACAAAATTACTAGATGACGGAACATAAAATATTTCACACAAATAAGATCCACAGGAAACAACTAATCTGCTCAAAGATTAAAGAGATTTAAGTACTATTACCCTAACAAGCAGTCGCCTCCACCTCAAGAGTGGCTATTTGTGAACCTCTTGTTTCGACTGTGAACCACCTGTTTCAATTCTTGTGTCTGAACCACCTGTTTCGATTTTTGTATCTGTAAACCACCTGTTTCAAGTCTTGTATCTGAACCACCTGTTTCAAGTCTTGTATCTGTGAACCAACTGTTTCAAGTCTTGTATCTGAACCACCTGTTTCGATTTTTGTATCTGTGAACCACCTGTTTCAAGTCTTGTATCTGAACCACCTGTTTCGATTTTTGTATCTGTGAACCACCTGTTTCAAGTCTTGTATCTGAACCACCTGTTTCGATTTTTGTATCTGCAAACCACCTGTTTCAGTTTCTGTATATGAACCACCTGTTTCGACAATTGTATCCATGAACCACCAGTTTCGACCTGTATCTGTGAACCACCTGTTTCGACTCTTGTATCTGTGAACCACCTGTTTCATTTCTTGTATCTGTGAACCACCTGTTTCGTCTTGTATCTGAATCACCTGTTTCGACTCTTGTATCTGTAAACCACCTGTTTCAAGTCTTGTATCTGAACCACCTGTTTCGATTTTTTGTATTTGTAAACCACCTATTTTTGTCTTGTATCTGAACCCTTGTTTCGACTCTTGAATCTGTGAACCACCTGTTTCAAGTCTTGTATCTGAACCACCTGTTTCGAATCTGTAAACCACCTGTTTGAGTTTTGTATCTGTGAATCTCCTGTTTCAAGTCTTGTATCTGAACCACCTGTTTCGATTTTTGTATCTGTAACCACCTGTTTCAATTCTTGTATCTGAACCACCTGTTTCGATTCTTGTATCTGAACCAACTGTTTCACGTCTTGTATCTGAACCACCTGTTTCGATTTTTGTATCTGTGAACCACCTATTTCAAGTCTTGTCTCTGAACCTCTTTCGAATCTTGTATCCGAGAACCACCTGTTTCGAATCTTGTATCCGAGAACCACCCGTTTCGACTCATCTATCCGAAACCCTGGCTACCTACTCCCCTGAACTTGTGCTTCGGTTACGGGACTCGAAACGCGGTTCACATGTCGCCATCACAGAGCAGCGAGGAGGGAAGTAGTGCAATTAGTGCAATTTACACATGTTTACCGTTCTTTCTCTCTCTCCCCCAGGGTGGCGTAGACTTCACAGGGGAAAGGAGACTCTTGGAGTACATGCTGGTGAAAGAACAGATGATTAGCCAGGTGAAAAAGGGGCCTGGAGCTGTACAGGTGAGGTTTTCCTGAGGCTTAATTACGGCCGGTCTGTGAAAATTGTGCGAAGCTCGACCCAATGAATATTCGTATACTTGGCACGCAATAGATAAAGAAATAAATGCCTATTTATCAGGCTAGACATGCATATCAACCGGGTAAATAGATAGTTAAATGGATATCTATCGGATATGTAGACAGATATGCCTTTATTTCTGCGTCTGTATTTATGAAAATTTATTGGGTTCGGCCTGAAACAATTTTAACAAACCGGCTGTTAATGTCGGGTTATCAAGCTTTTTATCCTATTTTTTTTTTATCGTAGAAGGGTGTTTCATTAATTACAAAAAAACAATAACAGAGAAAATCCTGTAAGAGCGTGAGTGATAATCTTTTAAAGACGAAGGAATGGTTTAATCAGTCATGTAAAACGCCGACTGAGACTGAAAGAGCCGTCTAACACAAGAAAAAACAATTATTTAAAAAAAAAAAAAAAAAAATTGACTCTGGGTTGATGCTCCAACTCTGTGAATTTTGATGACTTGGGCGGTTTCTGTGTAAGAAGCTTTATGTATTTATTGACGACTTAGTTATCAGACAGATTTCCTCCAATTTTGGGGTTTTCCAAGTTTTTTTTTTTTTTTTTTTTTAGTTTTAGTTCTAGTTTTTAGTTTATTATTATTATTATTATTTTAGTTTTTTTTTCTTTCATTTCTTAAAGTGAAAGGGTCTCTATCAAACTCTATCGACTCACCACTGCAACTACTTAACTACTTACCAACATTGCACTACTCACTACCATTATTCTTACGTGCGAGTGCCATTCTCTCCTCTCACCTGCAATTAACTCTCCCACCAGGTATTTTTCAAGTTTAAAAACCAATACGGGTATTACATCGGCAATGCGGTCGTTCCCAGCCTGTTCATGGTCGTCATTTGTTACGTGACATTGTTCTTCGACTTGCATGATTTTCAGGTAATTGTTATACATTTGTTTATGGATTTACAACCTCTCTGACAGGGATTCGATCCCCCCCCCCCACCGCCATTGCGAAGAATTCACAAGATGGGCACTCTCTCCACTGATACACGACTCGACAAAAGGGAGTGTGCAACTAGGAGCTTACTAGCATCCATAGGCATTACCTATTTACTCATACATGAGTAAGGATAGCGAGGTTTTACACATATCCCTTGGACACTCGAATCCCTGTCAGAGAGGTTATAAATTCGTGATGTCAATGCGGCTATTGCAGTATTCCAGCTTTCACATTTGTTTATGTTTATTTATCTATCTATTTAGTTGACTCGGTGTATGTGTGTACTTGTGTGTATGTGTGTGTTAGGTGTGTATGTTTCATCTTGCATTTCTGTTTATCTGTCTGTATGTTGGGTTTATTCAGGTAATTTGGGAAATCCATATGTCTATGTCTATTTATCTATCTATTTAGTTGACTCGGTGTATGTGTGTACTCGTGTGTATGTGTGTGTTAGGTGTGTCTGTTTTATCTTGCATTTCTGTTTATCTGTCTGTATGTTGGGTTTATTAATTTAATTTGGGAAATACATACGTCTATGTCTATTTATCTATCTGTTTAGTTGACTCGGTGTATGTGTGTACTTGTGTGTGTATGTGTGTTAGGTGTGTATGTTTTATCTTGCATTTCTGTTTATCTGTCTGTATGCTGGGTTTATTCAGGTAATTTGGGAAATACATATGTCTATGTCTATTTATCTATCTATTTAGTTGACTCGGTGTATGTGTGTACTTGTGTGTATGTGTGTGTTAGGTGTGTCTGTTTCATCTTGCATTTCTGTTTATCTATCGGTATGTTGGGTTTATTCAGGTAATTTGGGAAATACATATATCTATGTCTATTTATCTATCTATTTAGTTGACTCGGTGTATGTGTGTACTTGTGTGTATGTGTGTTAGGTGTGTATGTTTCATCTTGCATGTCTGTTTATCTGTCTGTATGCTGGGTTTATTCAGGTAATTTGGGAAATACATCTGTTTATGTTTATTTATCTATCTATTTAGGTGTATGTGTGTACTTGTGTGTATGTGTGTGTTAGGTGTGTATGTTTCGTCTTGTATGTCTGTTTATCTATCTGTATTCTGGGTTTATTCAGGTAATTTGGGAAATACATATGTCTATGTCTATTTATCTATCCATTTAATTGACTCGGTGTATGTGTGTACTTGTGTGTATGTGTGTGTGAGGTGTGTATGTTTCGTCTTGCATGTCTGTTTATCTGTCTGTATGCTGGGTTTATGCTAAGCGTTTCTTTCGATATATATATATATATATATATATATATATATATATATATATATATATATATATATAGATTGGTTTATGCTAAGCGTTTCTTTCGATAGATATGTATAAAGATTTTTATTATAAGCCTGTATCCCATTAAGTATAGTCTGATTGAAATGTGAATAAATAATAATTAATATTGATTTAACAGTTGATTGCTTTAATTGATAGTAATATAATGAATGCAGATATAGTGTCTCTGAAATATGACATGATTACCATTGACTGAATTAATATAATGAATTGATTTAATCAATATCAATATAATATGAAAACTGCCTCATAATAATTATTGCTGACTTAATAAACATAGTTAATTGCTATAAGTGATATCAATAAAGTGAATACAGATATAGTGTCACTGACATATTGATATAATGATAATTACGATTTTTTAAGTAATCATATCTTCCCTAGGACCGTATTATGGTATCTCTGACGTCACTCCTGGTTTTGGCGGCTCTGTTCAGCCAGACGAGCCAGTCCATCCCCAAAACGGCCTACCTCAAGCACATCGACGTCTGGTACATCGTCCTGATCACCATCGACTTCTTGATCATCATCATCCTCGTCATTATCGAGAATTTGCGCATGATGGAGTCTCCGTCGTCGAGTTCCCGGATGTTCGTCCAGGTGGCGCCAGCGTCGGAGTATAAGGACCAGAAGGGGATTGGTTTTTCCCGCGCGAACTCGAGGCAGGCGGGGAATCGGTGTGTGTTCTGGTCGGCGATGAAGGTCAATAGGGGTTCGATCGTCTTCTTGCCCGTTGCGACGATCGTCTTTTGTCTCGTGTTCTTCATCACGGGTTTCATCACTTATAACTCGAGGTAGAATGGAAGGGGGATCTGAGCGCGGTTGAGGATTCTATTTTTAGACGGAAACGGTGTATAGGGGACTTTAGGCATTAGAGAAGATTTATTTTTTTGAAAGCTCAACTGTAGACTTGTGCAATTTTCTTAATTTTCTTCTTTTTAGCTATAGATTCTTGTGATGAAGATCAATAGGGATTCGATTGTATTCTCGGCCGTTGTTACGATCGTCTTTTGTCTCGTCTTCTTCGTCACGGGTTTCATCGCTTATAACTCCAAGCGAAATGAAAATCTGAGCACAATGTTTATATTTTTTGACAGAAATGGTATATAGGGATTTTAGGCATTAGAGAAACTTTATTTTTTAAAAGCTCAAATGTAGATTATTGCATCTTATTTTTCTCCCTATTTTTTACGGTCATTTGTCACTGTTAAACCAAATATATCACAGTACATAGAAAAAATAAATCATAAGGCAAATAATAACAGATATATTGCAATAAATGTTTATTTCTTCCTCCACTCTGCAATAATGATAATGATAATAATAATAATAAACAGTAGGAGATGAATAATAATACTGTTCGATGGATTATAAAGCATGAAATTAATTTATGTAAAAAACATGATAACCGGCAAACGAGAAATGAATAACTGACGATAACGATAAAATACACACAACAATAACGATATTAAATAATAAGAATCATAACAAATAATAATAATAACAACAGCAGCGATATCTATAAGGAAAAATAAACCTTATCGACCCAGTAACCGATAAGATCCCAGACGTAAAGAAAACGGAACAGATATGAACCAACATGTTGAATCATGTTTACACCGAGTCGTGTCATGAGGTCGTCGGCCATTTTATCAGTTGCAAGCGTGACAAGGTGGGAGTGAGGTGGTCGCTGCTCTTCATGACAATGGTTTTCATCTCAAAGACATGAGTTGAGCGTGTTTCGACATGATTTGACAGGAAGAAAGAGGAAAAGAAATATGGATATGTTTTTTTTATTTATTTGTTTTTCTTCGTAAACCAACCTAATACACACGATAACCACGAGAGAAAAATCTGCCGAGTCGAACAGATGAACACAAAAGACAAGGTAAGAATCGAACCTGTTCTAAAAATGAATAAATAAATAAATAAATAAATGAAAAATAGATAAACAAGTAAAAAATAAATAAATACAATTATATAAAACGAAAGAGGAAAATTAGATCTGCTTTTCTTACCATTTCACTTGAACTCGAATTTTATGGCCACTATCCTCAATTCACAAAGGAGATAGAGATAGAGATAGGTGTTATCTGTAGCAAGTATTACTTTTATCGGTCAGCTGATACGGACCAGTTAATTCATTCTTTGGAGACAAGAACTACACTAAATAGAACAATAACAGAAAAAAAAAGAAACAGAGAAAGAGAGAGAGAGAGAAATAAAGAGAGACAGAGAGAATGAGAACGAAAGGAAGAGATTACTTATAAGATTACTTATAGCCTTTAACTTTTTTTTCTTCAAATTTTGATCATACTTCTTGTATCTCGTATGTAAGAAACGACCAAATTTCCAAAAAAATAAATCAAATCATACACCATACATAAAGAGATGTGTTTGTGCGGATATTTCCGGGTAAGGTTTTAATCCGATTCTCAAAAAGGAGAAATTCTAGTCAACAGAATCCTCAAGCTATGACGTCACGGTTCCACGGAAACCAATTTTTCAGTTCTAAACAAACTCGTACCGACATGGCGCTGTCTATACCGAGCCTCTTAAATTTCTTCAAAAATGGAAAACTCGTACCGACATGGCGCTGTCTTTATCCTCTTCAATTCTTCAAAAATGGAAAACTCGTACCACATCGCTGTCTATATCCTCTTCAATTTCTTCAAAAATGAAAAACTCGTACCGACATGGCGCTGTCTTTATCCTCTTCAATTTCTTCAAAAATGAAAAACTCGTACCGACATGGCGCTGTCTATATCCTCTTCAATTTCTTCAAAAATGGAAAACTCGTACCGACATGGCGCTGTCTATATCCTCTTCAATTTCTTCAAAAATGGAAAACTCGTACCGACATGGCGCTGTCTATATCCTCTTAAATTCCTTCAAAAATGAAAAACTCGTACCGTCATGGCGCTGTCTTTATCCTCTTCAGTTTCTTCAAAAATGAAAAACTCGTACCCACATGGCGCTGTCTTTATCCTCTTCAATTTCTTCAAAAATGAAAAACTCGTACCCACATGGCGCTGTCTATATCCTCTTCAATTTCTTCAAAAATGGAAAACTCGTACCGACATGGCTGTCTATATCCTCTTAAATTTCTTCAAAAATGGAAAACTCGTACCGACATGGCGCTGTCTATATCCTCTTAAATTTCTTCAAAAATGGAAAACTCGTACCGACATGGCGCTGTCTTTATCCTCTTAAATTTCTTCAAAAATGAAAAACTCGACCGACATGGCGCTGTCTATATCCTCTTCAATTCTTCAAAAATGAAAAACTCGTACCGACATGGCGCTGTCTATATCCTCTTCAATTTCTTCAAAAATGGAAAACTCGTACCGACATGACGCTGTCTATATCCTCTTCAATTTCTTCAAAAATGGAAAACTCGTACCACATGGCGCTGTCTATATCCTCTTCAAATTTCTTCAAAAATGGAAAACTCGTACCGACATGGCGCTGTCTATATCCTCTTCAATTTCTTCAAAAATGGAAAACTCTTACCGACATGGCGCTGTCTATATCCTCTTCAATTTCTTCAAAAATGGAAAACTCGTACCGACATGGCGCTGTCTTTATCCTCTTCAATTTCTTCAAAAATGAAAAACTCGAACCGACATGGCGCTGTCTATATCCTCTTCAATTTCTTCAAAAATGGAAAACTCGCACCGACATGGCGCTGTCTATCCTCTTCAATTTCTTCAAAAATGGAAAACTCGTACCGACATGGCGCTGTCTTTATCCTCTTCAATTTCTTCAAAAATGAAAAACGTACCGACTGGGCGCTGTCTATATCCTCTTAAATTTCTTCAAAAAGGAAAACTCGCACCGACATGGCGCTGTCTATATCCTCTCAAATTTCTTCAAAAATGGAAAACTCGTAACATGGCGCTGTCTATATCCTCTTAAATTTCTTCAAAAATGGAAAACTCGTACCGACTCGCTGTCTATATCCTCTTCAATTTCTTCAAAAATGGAAAACTCGTACCGACATGGCGCTGTCTATATCCTCTTCAATTTCTTCAAAAATGAAACTAGGTCAATCTCTCGGGTTGAGAGGACCACTACAAATCAAATCATATTGATAGTTGTACATATATACCTGGTGTACTTAGAGGGAAAGTCCAAGCAAGTATGAAGAAGTTTTATTTTTATTAAATAGTTTTATTTTCTTTCACGGACTTGGATATGTAAAACCCAAAAAAATAAACATAGGTCGTATTAAATCTTGAAAATATATTGAATAGATGATTGAAGTTCGAATAATAATGCAATTTTTAATGTTTTTTTCCGATAGTACGTAATGTGTTTTTTTTTTTTTTTTAATGTAAAAGTACTATAGGCCTATCGAAAAAATGGAATGCATTGAAATAGATCACAGAACGTAGGTCTACTGAACTGTTTTTAAATGAATAGAGTAACGGAAAAAAATACAATTATTTGCAAGAAAGAAATTTACTTGAATTGAAAATGGAAGGCGATTAATAACATTCATTAATTAACATTCATTAACATCAACTCTAATCAGTCGATGTATAAAGCTAGATTCCACTATTTAGGACAATAATCCAACCGTTATTGTTCCTTCATCTATCGTGAACAAAATATTTGAATAACGGTGTTTTCTTTGTATACTTTTTATTTTTATTTTATTAATTATATTATACAAATTTCATTAAATTTGTATACGTTTGTGAATTGAGTTGAGGGGTTTGTTTAGAACTGAAAATTCGTTGCCATGCCAACGTGACGTAGCATTTGAGAACTCTATTGCATCCAATTTCAGTAAAAACAAACATACTGGCAACTCAAGCCAATCGGTCAGCTGATGCGATATGCCGATGCTCATATATATATTTTTTTTTTCTAATCAGCTGACACTTGATATCTTTGTTTACATATGTTTGGTGTTTAGAAAATTGATATGCATTATTATACAGCTTTAAGTTACTTTCTTGTTCTGTAAAAGAGACGACGAATGAAATTACTTCAGAAGCTGGGAGATAAGGTTGCCATTTTCTCTTTTTTTTTTTATAATGGAAGGAAAACAATAACATTTAAAAAAATGCTTTAAATGCAAAATTTGCTTGCATTTTCAAGCAGTTGATGTATTAAAAGTTAGTGTCAAGATATTCAAAGAAACAGAACGACTAGCGATCAGTTATATTTTCAGTTATAAACTTTTTTTCTCTTTTATTTTCATTCATTTAGATTTAAAAAAAGAATTAAAGACTACACTACTATATTATATCGTATTTTCCCGCAATAAAATATCCTGATCTAAGTAGGCAATAAATTTTTGTTCTTGTAGATTTACACTTCAAGTACTTCGGCGATAACAAGGAGAGATAAGCGTTTAACAACAACAAGAACGATTGAAACATGTTTCGGACATGCGTTGATAAGATTCAATGAAATATGACATCTTATCATGAGAACATATTTCTAAATAAGGTGTGAACTACTCTGTTGGTGGATACAGTGTAATGGTGCAGGGAGTGTATTCTGATATATATATATATATATATATATATATATATATATATATATATATATATATATATATGTATATATATATATATATATATATATATATATATATATATGTGTGTGTGTGTGTGTGTGTGTGTGTGTGTGTGTGTGTGTGTGTGTGTGTGTGTGTGTGTGTGTGTGTGTGTGTGTGTGTGTGTGTGTGTGTGTGTGTATTATATATATATATGTATGTATATATATTATATATATATATATATATATATATGTATATATATGTATATATATATGTATA